ATTGGAGTGGTCGAAGGAAACCCTTTGTCCAGGGGTGGACACACACACATCGTACACCATGAAACTATGAGCGAGCAAAAAGAAGCAGCTTCATGGTTCATCTTGACTTGGTGGCGTGACGATGCGTGACGTAAGCTTGAATAAGCTGGTGGCCGCCCCAACCCAAAAGACATGTGTGAAGCAGTCGGAAGCCGTCGCGAAGCGTCGCGCGTCACTTCGCCGACGGGTTGGAGGATATCATGGCACACGAACTCAAAGGGGGTGAGGATGGGTATGGAGTCTCACCTTGGGCAGCCAACAGCAGCTTGATTGCACCTCCACCATCTCAACTTCGCCTCCGCCTCGAACGCACCCGGGACCGGACGTCCTCGTCCAGTCCTGCCTTGACGCCCCGGTATTTGGAGCGGAACTTGCCCGGATCGACGGCTTCTTCGCGCTCGGCCTTCAAGCCCAGGAGTCCTCGGCGTCGGACGCCGCGGCGCTGAGGTGGCGCGGGGAGGGAGCCGAGCTAGGAGCCGAGGGCTCAGGTTGAGGAGCTGAGGGCTGAAAGCGCATGGCAAAGCCAGAGGCTAGCCGGCTAGCCCGTGTTGACGCATCTTCTATCCAACACGGATCTTTCGGAAAGATGCGATGATTTGGGGGAATCAATCGTGAACACGCCGAAAGTCGCAGTCCAATCAAAAATCACCTCCTGGGAAACACATGACAGAATTTGGCTGAACATGACTGGACTATATTCTAAACAGCAGCTCACATGAGTTCAGAAGTGCTCGTCGCATTTTCCCACTTCTTCTCCATGAAAGAGTCATTTTTCTCAAATTGGGCGTGACTAGTGGCTAATCGTGTCACTCACTCTCGAATTCCAGAGCTAGCTGTCAGGGTTGTTGAACTCCCTTGGTTGCTGTTTTGATTCATGTTGATCCATTTTCCCCTCCATCAAGCCTGTAGACCCTGTAGACCTGTAGACCTTCGCCGCGATACCAATCTGCTGCCGCCTAGAGGCCTTTTCGAAGCTGCTCGGTTTGCTCCTCAATGGCCCATCTGGCAAGCAACTCAACGATGTGGTGCTTCACCACTTGCTGCTTGTCCTTGGCAGCGGCAAGGACAAGGGAAACTTAATCGTTTCTTAACAATTTGCCACCTTTTCATTGAAAAAACTATCAAGATATTATGCGCACGCTGCGTGTGTGCATAAACATGCATAAACCGCGGACATCAAGAACTCCCAAATGCAGCGCGCGCATTTCAGTGGGAGGGCGCGCGCGCGCACGCATAAACCAATTGCATCTGCACGTGCACATGCGCAATCCCGAGCACCTACTTAAAAAGCCTCCCCAACTAAAAACCACCACGTCCGAAGCCCTAAATTCGGCTTATATTTTTTTTTAAGCTACCACCCTTTCAAGCCGCTACTAAACTACCAACATGGTCGAGTTTGGTGGTAATTTCTTTTTTTAGGTTCCAAAAACAACCGTCCACATCTGTCCGCCCTTTGTATCCACCATGACACGCCGCGTTTACACCAGCAAATGTTCCTTCCTCCAATGGCACGGACTCACGCAAACGCACTTGCCACCGAGGTCGTGCAAAACCGCATGGCACAGCGACATCACCTTTCGAAAGCTTTGGTTGTTGGTCTAATGAAGAATCAGTATTCTAATAAAGGTCTTTGTAGGGGAAAAGGAAGACCCCTCGATCTGGGAGGTTTTTTGAATTCTTGTAAAGGATTATGTGTATATATATATATAAGTATATATAAATCTATTACCCTATTTTGGCCCCCCCGATTTCAGGGACCCCCTATTTATTAGAAAAACTGCGGCCGAGTTTCTCTTATTAAGGGGGGGCGTGTTTGTTAATAGGTGGACAGGATTATATCTGGTGAATCTAGTGTTCACATTTGAAGGCCGTCACGTCGAGCATCCAGGGCTTGCAAACGACAAGCTTGCAAGAATGCTTTCTCCCGCTGGCTCTTCTTGATGAAGTCCAGAAACCTGAAAAAGCTCCGGTTCAGGAGCCCGGCAGGCGGCGCGCGGAGCGCCAAAATGTACCTGCCTATGATTGGCAATCTTCAGGACCACGCATCGGTCATCAGTCCCTGAGATTGAAAGCTCTGGGGTGTGGAAAGCAATACTTGATCTTCACAAGGTCCAGCACCACCCACTTGGGTGCTTTCGCAATCCCAACGAGTGGACGGTGCTGTTTCTGTGATCCTCGCCTTTCAGCTCGGCGGCCCGGATCCGGAAGCGCTGGAGCTGCAAGCGGTAATTCCTCGCACGGGAGCGTAGACCCTAGACGGCCACTAACTCTAGAAGAGAAAAACAAATCCAGCATGGCAATTCGCGCGGCGGAACGCAAGAACATGGCGGAAGCCGAAGCATCGAGCCGCCGAGAAATCAACAGCACAAACGAGTCTGAACGAGCCAATGTAGGAGGGTGCCCCCGGTAGGTCAAGTATCCAAGCATGCATTCTTGCTTGTGTCTTGCTTCTGTGGCCTTTTTGGATTGTATGCTCCATGTACTTCGGTTGATGGAAGCAGGATGACATGTTGCGTCTTGTCATGTCTTGTCCATCTTCCCAACATGTCCCAACTGTCCAGGTGTGTGTATTCCAAGACCCCCAAGCACCAAACATCGACTTTGTTGCGAACACCCGGGTGGGGGCCACCACATGTGGCCACCAGGAGAAAAGGGGTCCAAACGGATTGATCTCACTTGGAATCGGGAGACCGTCCTTTAAAACGGACACTTAGCATACAGCTTATTAATACTATATATACCTGGGAAGGGGGGGACGAAGGCCAGCAGCCGCCAGATGAGTGTCTCTTTTTCTGGCGGGCGTCGCGGCACAAGAAACATGGTCGGCAGCTTGCGGGTCAGCGGTGCCGCGGACGCGGGGGGGGGGATGTAATGGTGATTGAGGGAGCAGAGAAGCAAGCCGGGCGGCTTTGGGATGAGTGTGGTATGAAAGAAGTAGTGAAAGAGAAATGCGGTACGTTGTATGTTGGTGTAGGTCATCATCACTCACAAGGCAAAGGCATGTGTTTGTCACACGCAGGAAGGCATGTATCTTATGGAAGTTGGAAGGCGACATCAGCCTCAGCGAAGGGGAAATACCGTCTGAGTTCGAGTGGTGGGATACCGCGCGCCGCGCGCGCGCAGGAAGACCTTCGAGAGTAAGCGCGAGTACGGCATGCGTTTGATTTGAAAAGAAGCAATTATGTAATTATGTGTTTGTTACATTTGGAGTGTTTCAAGTTTGCAATGCATGCTGCGGCGCGTCGAAAAGCGGCCTTCGTTGACTTGGAAGAGTGAACGGGCACGTCTTAGCCGGGACACGGACGTGTGATCCCACGGCGCAGAAAGAGAGGTCCAGCAGGAGTAGCTTGGGCTAGCAAAGGGGTGAGGATTTGTGCGCCTATCGATGCACATGCCTGGACTTGAGTGAGTCATGTTCTGGCCCAATCCTTTCAACGGGCCTCTATTAAACGATCCAAGCACATTCTTTATTCTTCTCTTTCTTGTCAACTCTGCGCCTTTCTCACTCAGAGGCCTTGACTTTGGCACCTGCGTGTGTAGATCGTTGGGCCGTGGACCCAGGCTAACTGGATTCGGCCAGCATAAAGGCGACGTCATGAGTCAGTAGTATATAGAATTTATCTATCTCTCTCTCAACACCCTCCCCCCCCCCCCCCCCCCCCCTTAACTCACTTTGTTCGCTCTAAAAGCTCAAGCCTAGCCTATCGGCTGGCTTTCGTAATATATATATATATATGTGTGTGTGTGTGTATGAGTTTGTCTATACTGTATATCTAAGTTACAATGCATATCCGCCACAGCAAGAGAAGGCCGTAGTATGCAAATTCATCCAGCGAGGCTTGCAAGCTTGGTCAGCGGGGTTCTGAAGCTGAAAAAGGCCTCGTTGGGGTGATCACCTCTCAGGGCCGCACGTCGAGGAAGCTGCACCTTCTAAAGCTTTCATCCAAACCTTTCCCAGCCTCAGCTGAGCGCATCTAGGCGCCAGATGGACGAAGCTGGCCACCAAAAATAACTCAAAATACGTAAATGGATCTAAATTGGTGCCTGGCTCTGGCCCCAAAACCCTATGTACAAGCCGCGGTGAGCCGAAAAATAGCCGAAAGATGCCGAAAGCCCCTTGAACATCACCCCTGCCAAAAAGCATCAGGCGCTCGTGGCCCCAGATTGCATCTTCTTGCAAGCTGAAGAGAACCTCCATGCGCCCACACCGAAAACGAGCGAGGACCCGGAGACGGGTCGACAATTCTCTGCCACAGCATGCCACAGCCACATCCGACCTGCCTGGTCTGGCCACGACTTCTGCTTCGGTGGAATGAGTGGATTGAAGGTTTCGTAGTCCCACTTGACCTTCGAAGTGAAATCCAACAAAGGGAGTTGGAAGGTGATGTTTGTTGAAAGGAATGTAGACAAGAGTGTTGTTAGGCCAAGAGCCCGATTTCAGTGGAAAGCAATCTATCATACTATAATATACTATATATATATATATATTTAGTGGAAATCTGCACGCAAATCTCATGCAATCAGGCTGCAGAGAAGAAGAGCTTGCCGGCCTTTTCCATCCTCGACTGAGGAACACGCCGCACCGATCTCACCAAGCTTTTTTGCAGCGTGTGTGGGCAGTCTGTGCACACACACACACACCATGCAGGCAAGCGGCAAATCAGAGTCTGAGCTGCTAATCATGTTCACCGAAGACTTGGGCCGGTAAAGGTCAGCTTTTCCCGTCCATCCATCCGTCCTCAGCAGCCCCACTGGCCTCCAAAAATGAAAAAATGATTGGTTGATGATGATGATGATGATGATGATGATGATGATGATGATGATGATCTCATCCGTCTTGCAAACCAGTTGCAGGTCATCCACCCGGAGCGTACAACTTCCGCAGAGGTCATCCGACTTGAAACTGTCGTAGTCCATGACCTCGGCCAATCGAAGGAGCGAATCGATCTCTCAACGTCGGAGTGACGTGTTTCCCCGTTTCCTTCAGGCCACCGGAAATACGATCCTCGACCAAGGATCGGTGAAAGTGATCTCTTCCTCCCCATTGAAGGTCAAAGTTCCATCATAGTTGAAGAATGGGTTGACCTGAGGGTAGAGACTGAAGGTTTAAAGTTCTAAAGTAGGAGTTAATTCTTATTCACTCGTACCTTGACTCCTTTTCTTGACCTGAGCTGGGTCTTCGCAGTAAAAGATCTTCGAACAGCGTCTTGCGCGCATTTGGAGCATCTGAAGCATCTCGGGTCGTTCCAAGTTGGGACCATCTCGGGCAAGGCGCTCCCACGTTCCACTGGACCTGACAAGGGAATTCCTCTTATGCCGAAAAAGCATAAAAGAAGGCACTGGGACGCTGCTGGATTTCTTCCGCCCAGGCACCGGAGTTTGAAAGCGCTTGTACTCGCCCAGCTTCACAATCACGTATGGATCCAGCTTGTCGAAAATAGAGTTTCCTGCCAATCGGCGGGAAACCGCGCCCGACGGAGGCCGTGCCGTTCGCCCGCTGTGTTTGGGCGGCGGCTACAGGACCAAGACCACCCAAAACATTGAAAAAAACATCAACAGATCAGTTCACCACAATCACTGCCACAATCCTGCAAGCTTTTCGGCTCTGTCGACCAGTACGTGAATCCGAGTCCGCTTGGGCGTTCGGGTCTCCGGCTTCTCGATGAGAGTCACCTCAAAAAGGCACAGGGCGAACGCCAGGGGTTCTCTATTTTGGGCTGTGGCTATTGGCCACCCCAGGCCAAGAGTGAACAACTCTAGACTGAATAGTCGTAATTAGCAGTAGTCATGGTCATAGTCAGTGTAGCCGTATCCATAGAAGAAGTCGTTTTCAGAGCAGATTGGTGGCACACATCAGTTTTGGAGTGCCCCGTATCCAAGCATCGGGCATCGGCTTGCACTTCTACTCCTCAGTATGGGACCCTCATCCTCAACGGAATGGAATATGTGGAACCATGTTGAACCTATCAGGCAACCCAACATGACTCTCCTTCTAATCATACACCACTCATCTCTTCTCCGAATTTATGTTAAAATATGATTGAATTTCTGAATTTGAATGACTGATTTACTTCGTTTGGCGAGCGCAACATATGCCACCTCTTCCAGGACCTTGCCACGGCATTCCAGTCTTGTCTTCTGCATAGGACTGAGACGAACTGAGCCCCGCACGACCTTCCTCAATGTAGAACACCTGAAGCTTTGTGGCTAGATTGCCAACGGAAGGGTGCCGCCACGTGTCATTCTTTCATGCAAAGACATGCTGGACAACATCCAGGACACGCTTTCATCGATGGATTCAGTGGTGAAAATGGGCTCGGCAGGAAGGAGGTGGAGCACAGAGATTGACTTTGCCATCTCATCCAACCTCATTGCATTCTCAGAACGTCATTTTCAGGGGAACATTTCTCCGGTGTTTTGTTTAGGAAAATTAGGAAAATGGTCTCCGAACACGTCGGTTTCCTGGATCTTGTTTAGAACATATTTTCTGAACACGCCTCTCTCCTCTGAAAAGGTCTTGTCTGAAAAACGTCATAGCACTGAAGGCTTGACATTCGTCCTGCAGATTTTGTCGCCAAAATGCCCTGACCGGACAGCGCTCGAAATGGACTCAAAGACCTCGACCCTCTGTGCAGCTGACCTCGCCATGTCGTCCCGAGCACGTCCCGAGCCACCCGTTTCGGACAGAGGCGGCCTGTGGCCCACTGAAAACTCACGCCACGCACACTGCTGCCGACAAACTCGATTGTTGTGCGTGGTCAAGGGCATCACACAAGGTGAAGCGCCCCAACACCATGGTCCCGCATGGTCTCGCATGGTCCCGGGTCCCACGATGTTCCATGTTCATGTCTCAGTTCACCTCCGGAACATCTCCTGTCCTCTGGGGAATTGGACGAATCAATGGCCCAAATGAAGTCTCCTGTCCTTACAAGCTACTCCATTCCTTCGAAAATGGATGAACATCGCGAAGCGCTCGAAGAACACAGAGCCCCCGAACCGTTGTTAAGACATGTTAAAACGACCCCATCGGTTCCGTCTGTCTTGGCCCAAGAGACAGGTGCTCCAATTCCACCTTCGGCTTCGAAGGATCTGGCTCTGGCCTCGACCGCACGTTCACACCAGTGAACGGGGCCGGGGAGCCGAAGGGTCCCTTTTTGAACGGCGCCTGACTCTTGAGGATCTTCTTGACCGTAGCTTTATGGACCATACGACCCGAGTAGCTTGAAAAGAATCTGAACATGTCTGAAGCCCCCAGACTTCGAGGGATCCCAGAACCGAACCCCGGCGAGCGGATCTAGGTTGCACTTGGTGACAGGATCATTGACATCCTCGTGGACCGAGTTGATCGTATCAGAGTACAAGAACCGGGCGGCTCGGAATTGGCCAAAGAGGATGAAGAAAAACACATCTGGCCTCCATCGTTGGAACTCATCTGCTTCTGAGAGCACTCTACAAGGGCCAATCCTCCAGTGCTTTCACCCCTGAACCGCCCTGCGTTTCGCTAAGTGAGGGTGATCACTTCTGCATCCCCCCCCCCAAAAGAAAAGAAGAACTCAGCTCTTCACCTGCTTTCACTTCTGCTTCTGACCACCGTGTCTCTCTGCAACTCCGATTCCAACCACTCCGCCGGGGCCGTGGCTCGCATCGAGCGCTTCGCGCGCTTCGCGCGCTTCGCGCTTCAGATCCCAGGCGCAAGACCGCTCGTTGCAGAGCGGGCGAGTGGCGGATCTTTTGGGCGATGCGGGGATTGCCATAGACGCGATCGGCAAAGGCCGCCTGGGCGAAGCCAACGGAAGCCGACGGTGACCGCATGGGTGGATGTGGGTGGAAGCTGAACTGGACTAGAAGGACCCACTGACTCAGGCAGACTATTCTCGGTAGACTTGGTAGACCTCTTACAATGAAGTAAAACAATTCTCTTCGATACAGTGTCCATGAATTCCAATGGTTTTCAGTGCACATCTTGATCTGTAGGAGGGTAGCGGATGAATTGATTCCATGATGTCTGGAAATTGGAAGATCTCCCTTTGATGCCGCACGTTTTGCACTAGAAACAGGTGCCACGCTAGTAGTAACAGGTGCCTTACTAGTAGTAACAAGCTACGTCCACCACCCGGAAGCACCCGCGATGGACCGAGTTGGCCTCCAAGACCTCCGTGGTCAGGATCCCCACGATGGATGGCTCCTCACAATGGGCCGCTCCGCCCAAGGCGTCATTGATTTCTTCGTCGCCCATCCTGGAGACATGGAAGCGATGATGGGCCGTGTATGTTGTGGAGGTACGTCCAAGAGACTTGGCAGTCAAATAGATTCAAATTAGCGGACCATGGTGGTGGTCCTGTGTTTACTGGTGGGGAGGCCAGGGAAGGATGATATCGTCGAAACTCAAGCTGGCAGGGAAACTTGAGGCCAGGTCGGGTTGAACGAAAGCTAAGGCAAGCGGTTGCTAAAGCAAGAAGAAAACTTAACTAGCCTTAGCCAACACTAGCTTTCATGATGACTTGAATCTGATTCTGTGAGCCAAAATCTACGTTGGTAAAAACCAACCAATCCTTTGCACCAAAAAAGATGCAAAAAAAAAGTAAAAAACATTGCCTCAGTCAGTTCCAAGTTGTTCGGCGCCTGCCTGAAAGGCTGTTCGCCAAAGATCGAACCAGGCATCATCTCCAGAAATTCTCCCAAGCCGTTCGAATCGCGGAAAATGTGCACCCGACCTCGGGACATCGAATTCCGTCCATCGACATTCCAACAGATCGGGCGGAGGACCGGGTGCATGGGGACATCGGAAAAAAACACGGTGCAATATGTATGTGTAATATATATATATGTGTGTGTGTGTGTATTACGTACAGTAGCTAGTCACTCGTACAGCACATAGATCTTCAAAGGAGTGGCATCTGTCATCTGTCAAAGCAACGTTCATCACACGAACAATGGTGCTTCAATCATGTTCGATCATGCATCATGGCTCAAAGCTCACCATCCCGATCGAAAGTTCGCGGAAAAATAAAAAAACGTGCATCATAAGTTCATGTCCCATGTTTTCCCCCTCTTCCTGGCCCCATCTTCCTGCCCAGGGCACCGGTCAACAACATGAAGGACCTCAAGCCCTCCGTCGGAGGCCAGTCCGCCTTCAAGCGCTCGCTGCCGAAGAGCCAGCGCCCCACCGAGAGCCTGGCGGGCCCGGTCAAAACTCGAGGGACCATGGGCCCATGCCGGGGGCGGGGGGGCGTCGCTGTCCACCCGGAAAAAGACATTGAAAAACCAGGGAGGTGAGCAGCTGAAGTGGTTTGGGTCAGAGAAGGCTCGCTTCGAGTTTGTGGTTGTGGAGAAGAACCGGGGAAAATTCTGTTCAGGTGCATTCTGGAGACAGTTGGATCAAAACACGTCATGTGAAACTCGATCTACTATAGCCCATCTAGCAAGCTCGAATCCGGTTCTTATTCCAACATTTATGATTAGCTGTACCACAAACATGCATCTTGCCGGATCTGAATTGAAGCTTCGAATCCTGTTGGCAGAACGGCGCGGAAGCGCCTGAGGAAAGGCATGGTTCGCAGAAACCTTCGTTTGCGACGCTCGTCTCCGGTCCGAGGAATCGGGTCGAACTCCTGAGTTCCCGTGCCGATCCAACTGACGATCATCCAGTCGCTGGAACAGGAGAGGGTGGATGTGGCGGATTTCTTTGGCCACCACCTGCGACACAGCGAGGTGATCAGGGGCATGCGGCATGCCGAGGTCGTTGGTCCGATGATTCGAGGTCTTCCATGCTTTGCGACTCGTCGCAGCTTCAGTTTTTTCTGTTCCATCGCAGAAACTGCGAGGCTTTGGCACTCTGACCCATGGAGGGCAAAGGCTCAAGGCATGGGGGCTCTATGCTCTGCTATTCCAGTCCGGCAGGTCCATCCACAAAAGTGGAAGAACCCCACGGTTCGGCTATGCCAGGCCCGGTTTTCCAGGGTGACGGGTCTTAGTTCAGGTCACTTAGATCTTAATAAGTAGACACCCCAGTAACGACCCCAGTAAGAATCCAACAAGTAGGGTCTTAGTTCAGGTCTAACCTCTGGGACACGGGACCCGAAAGGCCTTTTCCAGCGCCCGCGTGTCCGTGCTGAGCTTCTGCGGCACGCGCCGGCCACCTGGAGCGTGGAGTCAGCTCTGAGCCCAAACCGGAAGGATGTACCATAAAAGTAAAGAAACATGGTCCAACCTCTAAAAAATGAAAGCCTTACAAACAAACAAACAAAAAACACTTGCAAGAGAAGAGGAACAAACATAAAGGATCCATGGTTCACAGGCACAATTTCCATCGGGATCATTTCTCTGCTTCGCTGATGTTCACTTGGACTAGTGGGGGCCACTGGCCCACCAATCTGTTTCTGGCCCATGGCTAAGGCTCCTGCGCTTTTCGGTGGCCAGCACCAGCTGTCGGCACCTCAAAGGGCGGTTGGAAGGGCTTTAACAAAAGGGCTTCAACCGGGCAGGGGGGGTTCCTGTCCGTCGCTTCAACGGAAGCAGCGATGGGGCTGCGCTTGAGCAGCGCACGCGGATGAACTCAGAGCCAGGCCGATAGTACAAGGGCAGCACTCGCCCCAGGGAATTGGGCCACCCCTCGGTTCTCTGCCACCACTACTGCGCCCCAAAAAGAGAGATCTCCTTGAGACATCTCAAGACATCCGGTACAAGAAACACATAGAAGCACCATGAAACACCAATGCTTCTGCATTGAGGTTTCGTTTTTTCCCCCTGAACTCAGTCCATGACATCCTTGCTTCCCTCGTATGCCTTAGAAGGCTTGGCTGTAGGGCGGCCGGTCATGGTCGAACTCAGGCCGGCCCACCACCCAATGATGCCACTCGATAGTGTCTATACGCAAAAAGTGATGAACATATTTTGAGCCCTGCAGTTTGGACAAGAAAACCAGGAATCACCCTATTAAAACATCTTTCTTTTTGCACCCCGGTGCGATGTGCCCGAAGGTGCCCAGCAGACGGTGCCCAGGATTTCTCCAAGGTGCCCGTTTGTTCATGCCCGGGCGGCCTGGCCATGGCTGATTCGTCTGAAGTGCACCTCGAGCAGCGCAGTGTAAAAACTTAGTGGTTATCCGTCAAAATGATGTGTTGTTTCCAAATCATACATATATATATATATATGTGTGTGTGTGTGTAAAAGGATTCTTCAAGGTGAAATGTCTTCAAAGGGCTGTGATAAACAAACGATGCTAGCCTAAACCAAAAAAGGCTACGCAGCAACAAACGGCGTCGTTATCAATTAGAACCACCATAGGTATCAATCAGACCAGCATCATTTGGTGGTGGATTTTGTTCAATGTCATCCTGGAATGGCACCTCCTTGGCAGATCACGGAGAAAAAAAAGTGAGCGCGTTCATGAAACAGAACATGTAGTCTCGTTGTAATTGAGTTAGTGACTGTCATACTGCAGCATGATCCGCACCAAGGTTGAAAGTTGCTACAGGGTCACTTGCGGCATCTGCGTGGCAATCCTTGAGGAGTTAGAGCAAATACAGGGAACAAGGTCAACTGACTTCAACCTGCGTGCCTGGAACCAAAAGGTAGCCGGCAAGGCACATGGGGGCAGCTCAAGTTTCGCGAATATTCATTGGTGATTTCCCCCACTTGAAGGGCCACGGAAAAGAATCCCCCACTGTTCAGGGCTGTGCTTTTGGAAAAGTTGACATAATCAAAAAGGAGAATGGAAAATATAGTTACGTAGATAATTATATATATATAGGAGAATGGAAATATATAGATAATATATATATATATATATTTACATGTACATCACATTGTAATATATATATATTTATATATTTATATGCAAATACACTGTTCAACCCCTCCACCAGCTTTGCTCATCCTATTCCAACACACCGCACCCAAGTGAAATTGCTCAAAAAGCTCAACCCTCAAGACCGTTTTTCCCCCCAACTGGAGAGGAGGGAGACACGAAAGGTAGGACAGCGGGAAGAGAAGAGAACGCGAGAGGCAGGAACAAAATGCAATGTTCGACATGGTGATTTATCCCCTCGGAGGCGACCTTTCGTAAATATAATTGCATGCGCACTCTAAATGTTCCAACATATGCTCTCGAAATGTTCAAAAAGATTCGTAGGAAAACTAGACGACGAGTGGCCCGAAAGCGTTTTTCATCACGTAGGAAGTCAGAGTGTGAGTTACCTGTTAAGTGTTCAGTGTGAAGTGTTAAGTCGAGTGAGTTGAGGCAGTGTGTCTGTGTGTGTGTGTGTCCGAGTAAGTTGAGGCAGTGCGTGGGTCTCTGTGTGTGATGTGTGTGTGTGTGTATGAGTCCCTGTCTGTGTGTGCGTCTATGTCTGCTGCTGGTGAAGGTCTTCACTGTAGATATAGTGAACGATATTTACGAGAAGCTTATGGGGTGTGTTGAAACTTCTTGCAAGTACATTCTCCATTGCTGTTGCCTTGCTTTATGTTGCTGGCTACGATCTGGTGCTAGCTGGCCCAAGTTCTATGGAGACTTGTGCAATCTCACTTTGAGCACCAAAAGGTAAGCTATGCAAAATGCACAAATGCATGGCAACCACACCGCTCTCCAGGTAACGTTTTCTTCACTTGAGATGTAGTTCACCAACCACTATACTGGTCATTTTCTCATCGACTGTCCCAAAAAACAAAAACGTGCCCAAGTAGCTTCAGGTGACACGCAGCAGCCATTGCCTATATCTTCGCGTGCTCTCTCTGCTCAGCTCGCGACTAGCCTGTGTATACGGAAAAGGTTTCCCGAAAATATGTCTAGCAACGTCCTTGTTGTCCTTCCGCCGAACGACGTCCGGCTTGAACGACTCGGTGTCACTCCAGGTCTAATGTGAGTTTTTAAGTGTGACGTGTTCAGTCTAGTGTGTCGAGTCCGTGTGTGGGTCTCTGTGTGTGTGTGTGTCAAACCCTGCTCCTAAGGGCTTTCCACTTCTGAATTGTTTTCAAGCAGGGGGCAATGCACGACTGATAGACATTGCCCAACGAAGATGCTGTCAGTTCGCGGTGAAGCAATGCGCGACGCCGCATTGTGTACCTGCTCAATGAACTTTTGCACACGCTGTCCACTCCTTTGGTTTGTTTCATGGTGTTTCATGTGTTCCTTCCCCAAAACAGGTTTCCCGCCGCAATTTTCAATCGCTCGTGAGCTGCAGCCACCGCGCGAGAGTTTGCCAGCTGAGTACAACAATTGTTCAACCTTTCAAGTGACCTGACTTTCTCGCCTTGCTGTTCCCTCACCTTTTTCCACGTGGGAATCGATTAACTGAAAACCAATATCAGAGTGTGAACCGCTCAGCCGTCCCACTTGGGTGCTGGGTGTGATCCCCGTCACTGGGGCGCTGAAGCCATGCTGGAACTCGTGTAACGGATTTTTCAGATGCTTCATTCCTTGGATTTTCTTAACTAACTCCTTTTCACCACTGGATCAACTGCTTCAAGAGCCGCCGGGCTTGCACGGATAGAACCATTTGAATTCAACAGCCGCCGGGCTTGTACGGAGAATGGACACGGCCGCGGTTTCTACCCCAAACACCCCAACCCCTCCCACCCACTAATTAGGGTAACAGAGGGAAATGGTACTCGGCACACTTGTGCGTCGGTGCCTTTCCCTCTGTTGTCCCTTTTCTAGTCTTCTCTACCCGGGCAGTCTAGGACTAAAGTCCCGCTCCCTAACTATTGCACTTAATTCACTTCCGCTAAGAAATCAGTAATCCTAGAGTGCTAAGTATTCATACACACACACAGACACACACATGTACATACACCTCCCTGCCCTCCACTTTCTTTCTTGCGCTTTTGGTCGTTTCTTGGGCTTTCTCTCAGGCTTTTTAGGTTGCTCTTGAGGCTCGTTTCCCTACCCCGGTCAAGGGCTAAGTATTCACTTTCTTCTACTCCTACCTTTCTCTCTTGCCCTCTTAGCGCTGCTCTTTCTGTGTTTCTTTCTTTTGTTTCTAAGGCTTTTTAGGTAACTATTCGGGTCCTTCGCACGAGCGCCGCAAAGCGGCACCGTGTGTGTGTGTGTCAAACCCTGTTCCTAAGGGCTTTCCACTTCTGATTTGTTTTCAAGCAGGGGGTAATGCACGACTGACAGACATTGCCCAACGAAAACGCTGTCAGTTCGTGGTGAAGCAATGCGGGACGCCGCATTGTGTACCTGCTCAATGAACTTTTGCACACGCTGTCCACTCCTTGTCCTTTGGTTTGCTTCATGGTGTTTCATGTGTTCCTTCCCCAAAACAGGTTTCCCGCCGCAATTTTCAATCGCTCATGAGCTGCAGCCGCCGCGCGAGAGTTTGCCAGCTGAGTACAACAATTGTTCAACCTTTCAAGTGACCTGACTTTCTCGCCTTGCTGTTCCCTCACCTTTTTCCACGTGGGAATTGATTAACTGAAACCTGTGTCTAAGTGTGTATCTGCGTCTGTGTCTCTGCACAGGCGAGGGGCTGTAGACGTCCATGCGCAGATGACACGGCAGCACAACAGTCTGGCGCAGGAGCGCCCACCTCTCTCGCTGCGTCCGCAC